GAATGTGAGGAATGTTTCCAGAATCTTAAGGAGAAATTAACGACTGCTCCGGTGTTAGTACTTCCTGATCCAGAAGGTGAATTTGAATTATACAACGATGTTTCTAAAAAGGGATTGGGATGTGTGCTGATGTAAGATAAGCGAGTAGTGGCATACGCATCAAGGCAACTGAAATCGCATGAAGAAAACTATTCGACCCATGACTTAGAGCTTGCTGCAGAAGTTTCTGGATTGAAACATTAGAGGCATTTCTTGTTTGGAATGAAATTTGTCGTATTTAGTGACCACAAGAGTTTGAAGTACTTGTTTGATCAAAAGGAGTTGAATATGAGACAACGACGGTGGACTGAGTTCCTAAAGGACTATGACTTCGAATTGAAATATCATCCCGGCAAGGTTAATGTGGTAGTTGATGCATTGAGCCGGAAGTTTGTGAGCGTAGCAAGCATGATGATGAGAGATTATAATGTGATTGAGAGGTTTAGAGACATGAAATTATCCGAAGTCTTTCCAGGAAGAATCTGTGACATCACAATTACAAGAATTGAAAATGAAATGCTGACCAGAATTAAAGAAGCTCAACTGCAAAATGAAAGTGCTAAACGACTGAAAGGTCAGAGTGGTGTATTCTGCAATGAGCAGGGTATACTATTATATCAGGGTCGTATTGTTGTACCTAGGCAGTTGGCGGAGGACGTGATGACAGAGGCCCATAAAGGTGAGTTCACTGTCCATCCAGGAGCTACAAAGATGTATCAGGACCTAATGATTAATTTCTGATGGTTTGGTATGAAGAAAGATATTGCGGAACTCGTCTCTAAGTGTCTCGTATGTCAAAAGGTCAAGATTGAGCATCAAAAGCCTTCTGGTATATTGCAACCTCTGGATGTTCCTGAATGAAAATGAGAGAGTATTTTCATGGATTTCGTAATGGATTTACCACGAACACAGGCTAGTTATGATTCTGTATGGGTAATTATGGATAGATTGACAAAGTTCGCACATTTTTTGCCACTACGAGTAGATTTCTCTGCTGAGAGATTGGCTAGGCTCTATGTGAAGGAGATTGTGATGCTTCATGGGGTTCCTGAGAGTAGTGTTAGCGATCGGGACTCGAAGTTTACTTCTCGCTTTTGGGGAGCATTGCAGGAGGCTCTTGGCACTCAGTTGAGACTGAGCACTACCTATCATCCACAGACAGATGGTCAGACTGAGAGGACCATTTAGACGTTGGGAGATATGCTGAGGACAATTCAGATGGAGCAGGGTACTGCATGGGATCGATATCTCCCGCTAATTGAGTTTGCATATAATAATAGTTTCTATGCTAGTCTGGGTGTGGCTCCCTACGAGGCCTTGTATGGTCGCCGGTGTAGGACACCTACTTGCTAGTTAGAGGTTGGGGACACAGAGCGATTTAGATTGGATTTTGTTCAGGAGACCACTGAGCAGATTAAAATGATTAGGGATCATCTGAAAAAGGCTCAAGATCGCCAAAAGAGTTATTATGATCTCAAGCATCGGCCTCTAGAGTTTTAGGAGGGAGATCATGTATTTTTAAAGTTGTCACCGGTCACGGGTATTGGACGAGCCCTTGGAGTGAGGAAGCTGAGTTCGAGATTTATTGGACCCTATAAGATTCTACGTAGGGTAGGACCGGTTGCCTACCAGCTTGCGTTGCCTCCTCAATTATCAAATTTACATGATCTGTTCCATGTTTCTCGGCTAAGGAAGTATATAACTGATCCTTCTCATGTGGTTCGACCTGATGATGTTGAGATTTGGGAAAATTTGAAAACTCCCGTTGGACCACTGGAGATACTCGAAAGAGATGAGAAGAGGCTGAGGAATAAATCAATTCCTATGGTGAAAGTCCAATGGGAAGTTAGGACAACTGAAGAGTCCACTTGGGAGCGGGAGGAAGAGCTTCTTCGGCAATATCCTGAGTTCAAGGACAAGTATATTCTTGATTTTGCGGACAAAATCGCTCAAAGGTGTGGTGACTATAATAGCCCTAGCCTAATTAATTAGTAAATTATATATAATTAAGTAATTAAGCATGTATTAGTGAGTAAAATTAAGTATAATGCCTAATTAAATGAATTAGGGTCACTTTTGAGGTAAACAATGTTGTCAGTGAAAATTATGGGATAAAAATGGGTGTAAGCAAAAGTACCCAAAATATAAAAGTAAAATTAGAAATGTTCCTAGAAAAATATTTTAGACCATTGGTTAAAATTTGGTAATGAATTGAGGTGAATAGATAGACAAGCTTTTACCCATTTAAGAAAACTTAACTAGTTAAGTGAATAGAAAAGAAGCTTCATTTCTTCTTCTTCCTACTGTCGAGCCTGAGAGAAAAAAAGAGAAAAAGGGAGAGTGAGAAACCCTAGCCACTCCATTTCTCAACCATTTTTAGTGATTCAAAAGCTAAAACCACTTAGAATTTTCCTCTCATCCTTAATCCTAGCTTGATTTTGAGTGGGGAGCATTGTGGTGTGAGATTTCTCTTCCCAAAATTTCACCCCTTTTGAAGATTGAAAGGGTTTGGGAGCATTTCACTTCTTGGGGACTTAGGGAGCACTCATTCCATGGTTGTGCAATCATTTGTGGTAAGTTTCCACTCCTTAAACTTTGTTTTCATGGAGTTTGTATGATGGAGGAAGATAATGAAGTGTTCTTGTGAGTGATATGAGTTTGGGTTTGATTTAAGCTTAAGCCCTTTGTATAAGTTGTTGTAGATGATAAATAAGCGGTAGAAATGAGTTTAGATAGTCATTTGGTTATTGTTCAAAATATGAGAAAATTCATACTTGGGATTATGGATGTTCTAGCATTTTGAGCAATTAGTGAGTTAGATGATTGATTGTGTCCTTGTGTTGCTAGGATTGAGGCAAATGGACCAACTTTGAGTGAGCACACATTGGAGCAAGCTATGGAGTTTGATTAGCTCATTTGGATAGGTAAGTTCATGCCAAGTGGTGGTGTGAAATTGTTTTGTTGATGAATATGTTAATATTCATTAACTTGTATTGATTGATTGTGTGACACCTTGGCGTAGGTGTGTATTTTGCAAATTTGTAGCTAGAATTTAGAGTTCGATTTGTTGCAAACTTGTTGGTGAACAAAGGTTGAATTGGGGCAACGAGGTAAGCCTTTGGACCTTGGGTGTTAATCCCTTTGTTGTTCCACCAAGCACGGAAGGGGTAGTGATTGTTGATAGTGTATGTAAATGCAATAAAGTAGTTTAATTCTTTGTTAGACGTATGTGTATGCTTTGGGTGTGGCATAGGATGGTGTTTCCCTATGTTTTGTATGTTGAATGACGATGCGTAATTCATACTTGGTAGTTTAGCTGGACAGTAGGACTATTTTGCATCTAAGTATCCATAGGACAACATGAGAGCTCAAGTGATGTCTCTTGGAGATGTTTTTACACACTGCATGGATATGTGTTTAATGCATTATTTACGGTTATTGCTGTTATACTGTGAGTGAACTATGGGATGGAGAAATGCTCCAAGAACCCCTAGTTTACTGAGATGTATTTGTATATCACACCCCGTGTTGTGGGGACCCCCTTTCATGTACAGATGCTGCAGGAGCCTCTGGTGGCAAGTGGCCATACTTGGACTAGATTGATGCATGAGGATGTTGCATTATTTTGATTATACATGTCATTTAGTAGTACCATGTATAGGATTCACATTTGAAAGCCATTTGATATGTGTACATCATATTTTATTTTGGAGGACTTAACCTATGCTCATCTCTTTTGGTGTCTCTTTTGTTGAAGGGAGTCAAGGAGTTGATCATAGTGTTTTGTATCTAAGTCCCATGGTTATGTATTAAAGACACTTGTATATTGTGTAATATTATTCTTATTGTAGATATGATGGAAGGGCATGGATGCCATTTGATAAATGTGGGTCTTAACATAATTAAGGATAATATATTGAAGTGGTAGTATAATGTCTATTAGGTGTTAAGAGAATGGTGAAAGTGGGAGGAAATCTCCCATGAAGTCACATGAAAACAGGGGAGGGCATGTTTTGCCCAGCTGGAGAGCGTTTTAGCACTGAAATGGGTGCTAAAACGCGCTATGCTCGTGAAATGGAGGAAAATTCACTGCCCTTGGGCGTTTTAACGCCCAAATGGGTGCTAAAATGCTCAAGTGGGCGTTTTAACGCCCAAGTTTAGCGCTAAAACGCGCTGAAGACCTGGAGAAGGCAAAATTCTCTACCTTTGGGCGTTTTAACACTCAGTTGGGTGCTAAAACGCTCTACCCGAAAAATCAGCAAAGACTTAGTTTAGTAAAACTGGCATAACTCGAGCTACAGAGCTTCGATTTGAGCGCAACTTGAACCCACTCGAAGCTAACAAAGAGATCTATAACATAGTAGGAGATGAGAACTATAAAGGAAGTATATAATTCATATAGTAATAAAAGAGATGAAAATATTTAACAACTTGTGGTCTAATAAAAGAAGATTATGATGTTAAGCTTAGTTTATTTTATTTCGCAATGTCATATGGTTATGATCACGCAATTGAGTATTTTAAATTCGGATTTGTTTAAAAAGAAAAAGTTATTTGAATTTTTAATTAAACCAATGTGATTGTAACTACGCTTAATATCATAATGCAATGTTAGCAAACCGATTCTAGAATGAAATATTACAAGCAAGAATTTTTTTTATAAACAGAAAGCAAGATTCATAGCTCAGACCAAAAAATATCAAGATTTTAATATCTATATTTACTAAGCAGCGGACAAGTAATTATTAGAGGCCAAAGAAACATAGGAGAGTACGCCCATGTAAACAAGCACATATTTTTTTGTGAGACAAGAAAGCAAATATGCCATGAAAATAAATCTCCAGTAACTACAGAAAAAGAACGACAAACCATTTAAAGTTTCTGAACACAGCAGAGTGTGACAGAGGTCATTACACATTATGGATGTAATAGTAACAGAGATTTACATTTCAACATGATATGAAAAGGACAATATATTTGCAGTTTCAAAGTTTTAGCTCAAAAAAACCAAATTAGAAGAAGCCCTGCAACTTCAACAACCAAACTTTCCAACACACTCTTTTCCGTGTAAGAGGCACCGTTCTTTGCTGTGGCTGTTTCATCTGTCCCCGGGTTTTTCACATTCTGGGCATTTCCTTCAGCTGAATACACAAAATACAAACATTATAAATAAATGCAAAAATAATAACAACCAGTACTGAAACAGAGTTCTTCCCAGTAAGCCAAAGTGAAAAAAAAAATAAAAATTAAAATGTTGTTGGAAGCATCACTACCAGAAGGACTGGGAGAAGGACTGATAGAGTCACCATTGGAATTCTGACCAAGTTGATTAAAAGCTTGAGCTTGAGCTGATTTAGGATCCAAGTGCAGAAGTGCTGCTCAAATCATTTCAAACAGAAATTCCTATCATATCTCACGTTAGCATGATCAACCATGCTAGAAATCTCAATCATTCGTTAACAGTTACAATTTTAATAACAAAGCTGGTAAAGCGAAAAAAATAAATAATCAACTTCAATTTGTGACCATTGATTAGTTAATGAATAAGTAACATTTTTCACATGATGTTAAGCATCATGTTAATGAGGTACGAGGATCATTCCCCTAAAATTGGTAGATTTAGATATATTTTCTTTTACCCTTTAAAACATGTTATTGTGAAGTTATTTAAGTACAGGACTTGTTAACCATTGCATAAAAAATAGAGAATGAAAATGAAATTATCCAAACTAAAAATGAGGTTGATAAAACATACATGGACACTGGGACAAATTATCAGGAGCTTTGCAAAGAGAAGGAAGGCCAAGAGCAAGTGTAAAGTTAATCTTTAAGCCAAGGTCAGGGTCATCCCTGTCCTTGATAATAATGCAGATGCATTTCTTATTGTTGTTCATAGCTTGTATGAGACCACTGCAACAATCTGGTGTTGGTGCTTTGGCATTGCCACCCACATATGGCAGACATGTTGCAATATTTGTCAGTTGTTCTGCACATTTTTGTTTCTCTTGGGCGGAATCCCCCATTGCATGGTTGATCAACATCAATGCTATTGCTAGCACTAGCATGTGTTTTAGACTAGCTCTTGGGTACAGGGCCCTGGAAGCCATTTACAATGGTTATGAGTGAATGAGTGGAGATAGATTATAATCTATGGATAAATATTTAGGCACAGTATTTATATAGAGCAGTGTGGTAAGTTGAATAATGTAAGTTCTTATGTTTGAAATTATTAAAAGCCATGTGGATGCTATGTGAAGCCACTGAAGCACACATGTTGGTTTACTTGGGTGTCAAACATTTCAATTTTCTGAAAATGAAATTGTCCAATAATGAGTTATATTATTTCTCAGGGTCAAACTTTCTAAGTCAGAGCTTTTGAATAAGTGTGAATTTTGAAGAATTTGGTTCTTCCCCAAAGGCAACGATAGTCTGATGAAAACGCGTACAATAGGCTACACCCACGAAAAATGCCATGATGCCAAGTCTGTTAAGTATAATTAAATTATTCATTATTCTTTACTATGGAAGCGCATCCTTTGTGGCCTTTTATTTCATTACATATTATGCACAATTCCTCTTACAACTTGCAAAGAATGGAGAAAGTGGAGCTTGCACTTCATTTGTCTACATGGCTCTTCCACACCACTCACCAAAAAAGTGGGTTGAAATAGTTGCAATTGTGGTAGAGAGAAAGCAGTACGCCAAAATGGAAAGTCTAGAGATAGCTCAAGTTGTTAAGAGGCACAACCTTTTTCGCAAGTAGATGCATTTTGAAGTTCACACGTTGATTATTAGTAAGTAATTAAAACGATCTAGTAAATTGAAAAGTTGATGTTAATCAACCTCTCATGATTAAGCGTTCACTGGTAATTTCATGAAATTGATTATTCTAATCTAAAGTTTCGGGTAATCCACTTCCAACTTTAATAATGTACGTAAGTCAAAACTTCTAGATGCACTATTAACCATGAACGGATAAGAAATGATGGTTTACAGAAAATAAAAATGAAAAGAAATGATGGTTTATATTTTTCTGCCTCTACTACACCAACCATATTAGTATTAGAAAATTTTGAATTATCAAGCAGAGAAAAGTTGTGTGAAAAGAGCATCACTAGAAGGATGGTATTGGTCTATAAAGTAGGCGTTATGGTATCAAGATTTTCATGATCATTTTGTTAAGTGAATAGAAAACTCAGCATTATTAGATTAGTTGCAAACCAAGAATGGAATTCTCTTTGTAGGATTCAAAATCTTGTTTCTCACGGACCACAGAAAACACTACTTGCATTGATGGGTTGGTAAGGGTCCTTATAGCTGCCATGGTGCACAAGAATTTCATAACCACTGAATCATTTTCTTCTGAAATATTTTGAATTACGTGAGATTTTCAAAACACTAAAAAGTTCTTGCGTCAAATGTCCTGACTTGGCATAAAACGTGGTTTCTTTTCATACTTGGTCGGGAGATTTTAAAAAAATTGGTTTATCTCCATCAAAATAAAGGGACAAAAATAGACGACCAGAACTAAGGCATAAAATTCAAAATTGTGAAACTGGGCCATACCATCATGGATAGGAACATTGAGGAATAGTTTCATAGCCCCCAAAAAGGTCAGTGTTGAGTGTTGTGGTACGTATAAAATACTTCAGTCTAAGATTGGAAAAACTGTGTCTTGTTTAGACTCATTAATAACATTCCTTGCGCGCACAGATTCCTCACATTGTGTCGTTATATGGTTTTCTATAAACTAGTACCGAAAAAATAAACAAGTGCATAACAATCAGTGCCCTTTAGTTAATCCTTTTTTTCTACTAAAATGACTCGTACTGTAGACACAACAACATTATTGGTCTAAACTTTCACATGCAAACTCTACTACGATAGACACTAGTACTAAATACCATTAGTGCACCAGCCAACTGCGGATTGAACCTTTTTCTCCAGTCTTAAACGGCTTCCTCTCCTCATGGCAATCCGATATGAAACTCAAATTCTTCTCTTAATTTTTTCCATCGTCATAACTCTCCACTTCAATGCATACAAGGTTGCAGGGCTTAACATGACTTGCAATGAGAAAGAAAGGAATGCACTCCTCAGCTTCAAGCATGGATTAGCAGACCCTTCAAACAGGCTCTCATCATGGTCTGATGAACAGGATTGCTGTAGATGGCTAGGAGTTCAATGCAACAACATCACGGGTCGAGTTGTGGAACTCAATCTTAGCACACCTCTGGACTCTCCTTACATGGAGTTGAGTGGTGAGCTTAGTTCTTCCTTGTTGGAACTAAAATCTTTGATTCGTTTGGATTTGAGTTTGAATTATTTTGTCAATACACAAATACCTAGCTTCCTTGGCTCAATGAAGGGCCTAAGATACTTGGACCTTAGCTTAAGTGGGTTCATGGGACTAATCCCTCATCAGCTAAGAAATCTCTCAAACCTGCAGCACCTTAATATTGGATACAATTATGCTATTCAGATAGACAATCTTAATTGGATATCAAGGCTTTCTTCCTTAGAATACCTTGATTTGAGTGGTGTAGACCTTCATAAAGAAGTTGATTGGCTTCAAGTACTTAGTGCACTTCCTTCTCTTTCAGAACTACACTTGGAGAACTGTCAAATTAGTAACTTAAGACCACCAAAAGGGAAAACCAACTTCACATATCTCCAAGTTCTTGATCTTTCAAATAACAATCTCAATCAAGAAATTCCTTCATGGATCTCAAATCTCAGCACAACTCTTGTCCAACTTGATTTGAGGAGTAATTTTCTACAGGGAGAAATCCCTCAAATAATGTCAAGCCTTCAGAACATAAAAATTCTTGACCTACAGGGAAACCAACTCAGAGGGGAACTTCCAGATTCATTAGGCCAGCTTAAGCATCTTGAAGTTCTAGATCTCAGTAATAATACCATCACATGTCCAATTCCCTCATCATTTGCAAATTTATCATCCTTGAGGACTTTAAATCTGGGTCACAACCAACTGAATGGGACCATTCCCAAGAGTTTTGGGTTCCTCAAAAACCTGCAGGTATTAAATCTTGGAGGTAATTCTCTTACTGGTGGTATGCCTTTAACTCTTGGGCTTCTCTCAAATTTAGTGACATTAGACCTTTCATCTAATTTGTTGGAAGGATCAATAAAAGAAACAAATCTTTTAAAACTTTCCAAATTAAAGGAACTACGATTGTCTTCAACAAACTTGTTCCTAAGTGTCAACTCTAGTTGGGTCCCCCATTTTCAACTTGAATATGTTTTACTAAGCTCCTGTGGTGTAGGGCCTGAGTTTCCAGCATGGCTTAAAACGCAAAGTTCCCTCAAGGTCTTGACAATGTCCAAGGCAGGTATTTCAGACTTGGCTCCAAGATGGTTTTGGAATTGGACTTTGCAAATTGAATTCCTTGATCTGTCTAACAATCTGATAAGTGGAGACCTATCTAACATCTTCTTGAATTCCAGCATCATAAATCTGAGTTCTAATCTATTCAAGGGTAGATTGCCAAGTGTGACTGCAAATGTTGAAGTGCTGAATATTGCCAATAACTCAATTTCTGGACCAATCTCTCCCTTTTTATGTGAAAGAATGAATGCTACAAATAAGTTAACTGTTCTTGATGTTTCAAATAATGTCTTATCTGGTGATCTTAGTCACTGTTGGGTGCATTGGCAAGCTTTAATGCATTTGAACTTGGGTAGAAACAATTTGTCTGGTGAAATTCCAAACTCCATTGGGTACTTGTCTGGTCTTGAGTCTTTGCTGTTAGACAACAATGGCTTTTCTGGATATATTCCTTCATCTCTGCAAAATTGCTCTATGTTGAAGTTCATTGACATAGGTAACAACCAATTTTCTGGCACATTACCAGCTTGGATGTGGGAAATGCAATATCTAATGGTTCTTCGCCTAAGATCCAATCAGTTGAAAGGAAGTATTACTCAAAAGATGTGTCAACTTTCTTCCCTTATTGTGCTGGATCTTGCCAACAATAGCATGTCAGGATCTATTCCAAATTGTTTGGATAACATGAAGACAATGGCTGGTGAAGATGACTTCTTTGCCAACCCTTTGAAGTATTCATATGGCTTTGGCTTCAACTATGACAACTATAGAGAAAGTCTTGTCTTAGTTCCTAAAGGAGATGAGTTAGAGTATAGAGACAATCTGATTCTGGTAAGAATGATTGACCTTTCAAGTAATAATCTGTCTGGAGCTATTCCCCTTGAAATTTCCAAGCTATCTGCATTGCGGTTTTTGAACTTGTCTAGAAATTCTCTGTCTGGAGAGATACCAAAAGACATGGGAAACATGAAACTGCTAGAATCCCTTGATCTCTCATTAAACCACATTTCAGGTGAAATCCCTCAAAGCTTATCTGATGTGTCATTTCTCAGTTTCTTGAATCTATCATATAACAACTTATCAGGCAGAATTCCCACAAGCACTCAACTTCAGAGCTTTGAAGCACTTAGCTACACTGGTAATCCTGAACTTTGTGGTCCTCCCGTGACAAATAATTGCACAAGCAGGGAAGAGTTATTGGGGAGTGCTTTTGATGGACATGCTGATGGAGATTTCTTTGATACATCAGACTTTTATATGGGAATGGGAGTTGGATTTGCAGCAGGGTTTTGGGGGGTTTGCAGTGTTATTTTCTTCAATAGAACTTGCAGGCATGCTTATTTTCATTTTCTTGACCACTTAAAAGATCTTATTTATGTGAACTTAGTCTTAAAGGCAAGAAGGTTATGTGCATAATTCTGTGTGTACCTGGTAAGAAGTGAGAGGTAAAACAAGGTGTTATTATTGGAAAGATTGTCTTTTTATGTGTTTTCTTTCTGTTTAGTTGCTTTCATTTGTAATAAAAGTTCTTGATTTATTTTTTTTATTTAAAAGTTTAGATTAGGATTTCAAGGCAGGCGCTCATAATTCGAACTTAAGTCACAGCTAGTATGGGTGGAAGGTTTAACCAAATGTGCCAACTCTTATTGAGGCTCTTAACATCTTTTTGAATTATCAATGAATTATGAACGAGAGATTCTTAATTACCCCTTGTGTGAGACAACCTGTATCATTTTGGAAGTGCCACATCAACTATAAATGGGCCATTATTGTGTTTACTAGCTTTTTGAAATTCAATCATACCTCCCTTTAAAGGCTATTATTACACTTAACAAACAGAGTACAACAAATTGAGATACAATGATAATGACAGGAAAATTCAAGTCTCTCTCTCCTGTCCAAAGCTATACTTCCTCAATGAGATTCTTCCATGCCTTCTTTCTGTCCCCTCCCCTCTATTTATCTTTTTTTTTTTTGTTCTATTATGATCTATCACTTTGACCTCTAACATAATTGCAGAGTCAGCAACCCATTAGTCAATAGCTAGGGTTTCTTTTCTACTAGGGCCCGCTTCCTTCTCTTGTCTCTTCTATAAACTTTTATGGGTTGATCCATATCAATACTCCCCCAATTTTAAAGACATTCTCCTCAAGGTCAAATTCTGGAAATTGCCTATTGATAACTGAGAACTCTTCCCAAGTGTTTTCAAAGTCAAGTAAATTTTGCCATTTGATCAAAACCTCCAAAGTGCCCTCGAATGGGTGCCTGCATTGTAGAATCTCTTTCCGTTGTACCTTCAATTCCCTCTCTTGTGACAGTACTAAGGGTAATGGCTGGGCATTTGGTTGAGTGGTGACGGCTTTTATTAGTAAAGAAACATGAAATATTGGGTGAACAAGGCAATCATCAAGTAATTGAAGCTTGTAAGCTGATGTTTGGGTTTAGGGCCACAAAAACACCTAAAGTACACTTCTAAACATCTATTAACCACTTCAGTCTGACCATTACTTTGTGGATGGTAGGCTGTAGTATAGTGAAGCTTGGTACCTACGTGCTTAAAAACCTCTGACCAGAAACTCATATATAAAGGTCTTATCTCGAACTGATATAATAGATAATGGGAAGCCACGAAGTCTTACTATTTCTATAATGAAGATCTCATCAATGTCCTTGGCGGTATAAGAGTGTTTAATGGGAAAAAAGTGAGCATATTTTGCTGAACCGTCAACTACTACAAATATAGTGTCAAAACACAGCCTTGGTCATCCTCCAATGAAATTCATCAAAATATCAGTACAAACCTTAGTGGGAGTGGGAGTGGGTAAGGGCTATAAGAGCCCAGCAGAGGATAAGGATTGGGACTTATTCAGTTGACATATCTCACAGCTAGCCACATACTCTCCAATCACTTTCTTCATCCCTCCACAATACACTAACCCAACTAGCCTTTTGTATGTACGAAAAATAACCAGAATGCCACCCCACTCAAGAATAATGGATTTCCTTGAGTAGTAAAGGAATAAACCTTGAGTTCCTAGGTAACACCAGCCTACCTTGATAGTAAAAACCTCCCCCCTCAATAAAATGGCGTCCCTTTAAATAGTCCCTCCATTTCCTGAATTGGGAACACTTGCCATTAGTTCTTTCTCATATATCAACTTTCCTAGGGCCCTAGGTGAGAAACCCTAACTAAGGTAAGCTATTGGTAAGTTTTCTTGAGTTAATACGGCTCCTATCCCTTTGTCTGATGCATTAGTTACCGAAGTAAAAACCTAAGAGAAATCTGGCAATGCTAAAATGGGAACTGTGCTCATTTTCTATTTAAGTATATTAAAGGCCTGCTCAATTGATTCATCCCATTTAAATCCCTCTTCTATCACTAAATCAGTAAGGGTTTTGGTTATTTTGCCATAGTCCCTAACAAATTTCCTTTAGTACCCTATTAGACCTAGATACCTCCGATCCTTTAATAATATTGGGTATAGGCCAGTTGACCATAACTTTTATTTTATTAGGGTCAACACTAACCCCTTTTGCAGATATGATATGTCCCAACTATCCTGCATGATCCTTGCCAAAATTACACTTCTTCTAATTAACTACCAAGTGATTCTACCTTAACATTTCGAGAACTAGCCTTAGGTGTCTTAAATGCTCCTCGTGACCCTTGTTGTATATCAGTATGTCTTCTCATCAAAGAAAACAAAGACAAATTTCCTCAAAAATGGTCTTAAAATCTTATTCATCAGAGCCTAAAAAGTAGAGGGTGCGTTTGTTAACCCAAAGGGCATTCTAGATATTCATAGAGCCCCTCATGTGTCCTAAAGGCAGTCTTTGTAAACACTATGTAACCTCCCAACTCATCTAACAATTCATCAACTGTGGGTATGGAAAATCAATCAGGATTGCAATTTTATTTAAAGCCATATAATCTACACAAACTCTCCAGCTTCTGTCTTTCTTTCATACTAGAATAATTGGATTGGAATAAGAACTGAAGCTATGCGTAATAATGTCATTTTCTAACATTTGAGCAATCAAATTTTCAATTTCAGATTTCTGGTAGTGGGGTTACCTAGATTGCAGCAAGGTACTTGACTACCTGGCTGAAGAGTAATGGCATGATCCCGGTCTCTCTTCGAATGTAGCCCTTTGGGTTCTTGAAATAAATCCTCATATTCTACCAGCAACTTTGTTAAATCTTCTTAAATTGCTCCTTCCTCTTCTCTGCCCTCTTCCATAGAGCTCAAAGAAACCCTGTTCTTCTCTGACCTCATTCCCCACTAACGGAAATCCAACTCCTTTACATACTCCACTGCAACTGACCTTATGGCCATACCCCATGCCACCGTGCCGGAGGGTTCGCCTTCCTCCAACTGGTTCCTCTTCTCGCTGTCTCCTCCTTTAGGTGAGTTTCCGATGATGTTTTTTTTTTTTTTTTTAAATTATTGTTTCTTGTCGTTGCCATTGCCATTGTACGAGCTTGTGCGATTTACCGTGTTCTTGGCCATTATGTTCCAGCAATGTTTGAAGGACTGGTTGATCAGTTGCTTGTGGGTACGCTAACACACTAGTAGTTCTTTTTAAGTATAGTGTCATAATGCTTACGTTTCGAGATTTGACATCACATCGGTCTTTTTGAAAGACCAATAAAGGAGCTATTTGATTTCAAAAACCGGTGTTAAAGGCCCATTTTGATGTATTTAACTATTTATTATCAGGACACTTGTATCTTTGGAGGATCAAAATGGAAGTTTACTTTAAGCTAATTCTATTAGTTTGTGGTGTAAAGTTTCCTATATGTAAACGCTTTTTTTTTTTTGGAAAATTTTCAACTTTATGAACACTTGTGTACTTCGACCGTACACATGCGGCAAAAAAAATTATTATTATTATTTTAATAAATAATTACGGATACATAATCTTTTTGAACCAATTTACGGATATATTGCACTCAATTTCTCCCCACCTAAGCAAAACATGTTTCACCCAAATTAAGCGAAATTAAGGAGAGTTTCACCCAAAAGGGGCGAAACTAGTCTCGCCCAAATGAGGCGAGACTTAAGCCCTTTTTTTCGCCTACTTCAGACGCAACTGATCCAGTTATCCCTATTTAAATCTCTATCATCTCAACACTCTTCATAACTCTTCTCTATCATAAACCTCATTTACTTTTCATACTCTCTTTTATTTATTCTGTTTATATATTTAAGAATGAGTTCACATTTTGATTCTGTTCGTGTTGTTTTATATTATAATGATAGGAAAATTGAAGGTCGACGTGGTGTAGTTTTTGAAGGCGAAAAAAGGCCAACACGTATCAAACGCAACTTAACAATTGCTGAACTGCATCAAAGAATTCATCAAAAGTTAGCTTTCAGGGGTTGTCAATCTATCACTCTGGTCACGACAAGATTATGGCAATCTGAACAATACATTAGTTTGCAAGTGGTGGATGATGAAGACATAGATATGATAATGGAAGAATTCTTTAACCAGTAAAGGAAAGATTTCTTAGAGTTGTACGTGGATATTGCTGGAGCAGAGGATGTTCTTTTACCCATGAGGTCGGAGTCTTTTAATTCTCCATGTAATGCATCATCATTTGCTGCTCCAGTTGTTAACATGTCTGAGAAAGATGAAAATGACCCTACCTGGGTTGTGGATGACGACTATGATTGTAACGCCTTGCAACTTGCAAGGATCAACGACTGTTCCCATACACTAACACGAGACTTTTCAGCGTGCTTTGTCCTCACTCACACACTTCCCGGAAAAACTTCCCAGGAGGTCACTCATCCCATAATTGCCCCAAGTCAAGCACGCTTAACTATGGAGTTCTTCTGTTTCGGGCTATCGAAAAGTAGATGCATCTTGTTAGTATAGATAGTACCAATTAATTCTTATAAGCTATTCCCAACTGTACCGTCCCATACCAACACAGTCTCTGGAACCCCTTTCTTTCGGGTGTTGATTCGATTCATTCGTGTACTCCCGTCGCTGGAAGCCTGCCAGGAGCCGCTCCTTATCCATGCCCTTTCGCACTGGCGATCACTCCCTGCCCTCGTCAGCGCCCTGGATGTTACAATGATGATGATGATAATGAAAATATTGCAATGAAAGATCATCTTCTGGCTGAGGATGCTAGTGCTTCGGACAATGATGAAGATCATAGTCTGCTCGCGACTCAAATTGAAGAATATCATGATCGATAGGAGTCTCAAGTCGCGAAATGTAACACCCCTTTTTAGAACCGGTTTGTTAATATTGCTTTATGATATTAAGCGCAGTTACAATCACATTGGTTCAATTAGAAATCCGGATAAATTTTCTTTTTTGACCAAAGCCCAATTTAAAATAATCAATTGTGTGACCATAACCTTATGACATTGCGAAATAAATGAAACTAAGCTTAA